CGGGGGGTTGCTACAGCTTTCCCAGTCAGTCTCACTGCACAAGCCTGTGGAATCCAAAAGCAAAGTCTGCCAGCTGGAGTACGGTATTTAAGGAACCAGCTATGAAGAGAATACAGCACCAAGGATTTACAGGTAAAATGCGTATTTTGATTTAAAGGTGTGAATATAGAGGCAGGGCAAAGTAGAGAGAGATGAGCAAAGGGTTAAAGGACTATGGAAGCATAGAACAAATTAAACTTATCTGAGATGCATTTAATACTCACATTAAATCCACATACTCTTTCAGCATGGAGATACCTCCCTGAATTATAAAAGGTAAGGGAAGGGGGGTTCGCATCTTCGTCCCTAAATATATCATTTGCATCTCTTAAATCTGAGCCAGTGGAAGAGTCAAACACTGTGAGCCAAATCCTATTTAATTTATTCAGCAACACATCTGTGTGAAATATAGTCCAATTACAGGCATTAGGTTACTTTGCCATGGCTGCAGCCATTTGGCTTTTATTTCCAGCAGGCTCTAATTAAATTATCACAATGCAGGAGCAGACAAGTTTCCCTTATACGTGACTGCAATTAAAGACATGCAATCACAACATTCTTTAAAGTGACTCCAATCAATTGGTTACAGTAAAGAATACCATGTAATAGAGCAGTGACTCCACTGTTAAGACTGAAAGAGGGTTTCTATTTCAATAATCTAGTTCCCTTTTATTATGAGTTCTGCTCTCGGATAATTTATTTAAAGTTCATTATGTGTCTACAGCATATATCATTTGCCCTCAGCTTGGGCTGCAGAAGTCCCATTATGGCCAATTACTTAGTGTGATAAAATCTGCCACAGTACAAACTGTTCTTTAATTAGATTTAAGTTTTGTCTAAATTCTATTTGTAATTCAGAGAGCAAAATAGTAAGGCCAACAGCAAAGACTTGCTGTCTCCTTCTTTGGCCCCTGTGGTAACCTGTTAGGTTGGATGTAAACTTAGGGGAGTTCAGAACCAAGATCCCCACACCCATGTGCTTTTCTTGCAATACTTGTCCCCACCTCGGGTTTCCTTAGCCAGCGCTGGGCTTGGGGGTGGCCTGGCCTGTAGGGGAGTCCCATGTTCCCTGACCCGAATCCAGCCCTATCAGATACCTCACCGATAGCAAAGGGGATGGCTCCAAAAGCACCCGAGAGCATGAGCTGTCAGTAGGGACTGCAGTGGCTGAGTGCCACTGCCGTGCTCTTCGGCGGTCGTAGGTATTTGCTCTCCAGCCCCTATAGGTTTGCTGCAGTGCACGCTGGTTGGTGGCAAAAAAGCTGCTGACAAAATGATAGTCCTACAAAACCACGAAGAAGGTGGTGTGGGGAGCAGCACCCAGCCGTGCCCTTCAGCTCGCTTAATAGCTGTGCACTGTAAACACCGCGGTGTGTACAGCCCTGGTGCTTCCTGCGGCAGACGGCGCGCCGCGACCTGCTGCTGCAGGGTGGGGCCTTTGCTATTAACCTGGTTAACCGTTAGCCATACCAGAGGCTTCAAGTTTGAGGACAACAGTATCCACGCATTACTTCTTGACTGAATTAGAGCCACTGGATTTATCTAAACCATCCCCTGCACCATCCCCAGCCACGAGAAGAGGTTTGAAGCTGTTTTGCTCTTTAAAAACAAATGCCAGTGTTTGGCATGCATCTTCTCAAGCTCCAGCTTCAGTTTTCAAGGTGTTTTAAATATGTTTGAACCAAATGTTCTACACAAATTTGAATTCACATCCTGCAACCTGTCTCTATGAGATCTCACAAATAAGTGAGGGTAGAAGCAACATAAAGAAAATTCAGAGTGGAAAAAGAAATTGAAGTGATAATTCAGTAGGATCCATTTTAACAGATCCAGGCCACAGTAATTTAAGAACGGGCATCATCCTGTAAGAAGTTGCATTCCTCCAGAAAAAATTGCGCTAGAGATTTACTAATTTTTTTCCATCAAAACATTTACTCCACTTTAAAAGAAAGAAGGCATTCACACAAATGCACTTACGGGATGCAACGTTAGCAGTTATTTGCCATGTGCTTCAGTGGCCCTGTATTTTCTGTTGTAGAGACTATGTGCTCGGCTATCTTTCCTTCCCTTGAATCCTGCTCAAGTCCCATATTGTATCTTGTAAATGGCTGCTTTGCAAAGTGGGATGAATTTATTCTGTATTTCAGAAAACTACTACCTATGATGACTGTCTAAGCAAAACACCATTTAAAAATTTTACAGGGATAGAAATTTACAGCTAATGACAAACCTAAAAATAACCAACATCAATCTTGTTAATGGACTAAAAGAATGAAATATTCCTGTATCAGTTGTTTCCAAGGAGCAGGGAGAAAAATGCTAACCAACTCCAGCATCAAAAAGAATATGAAAACATTTCAACATCTGCCCTGTTTTCCACTTAATTAACAAGGATGCAAATAGCATTTATGGAGCAGTTAAGTTCTGGACATTCCTCTCTATACTTTCGGTCAGCAGCGCAACACAACTAGTCTGTCCTGCTCCACTTGACCCTGGGTGAAAGAAGGTGAACTTTATGTACCAGGGGACACACATTGCACGCTGTGGGGCTGGGAATGCCTTATATTACAGCTTAATTGTGCCTGTGCAGACCCTTCCCTGAAAATATGTATTTTAAAATAAAATTGTATCTATATATAGATATGATAAAAGGCCTCTAGATCAGGATCAGTTCTCATTAAAGCAGCAAGACCTTTCCTTATTCAATAATGGCACTTTAATAGTGGCACTGATGGGAAGTTGAAAGGAAAGACCTGGTTATTAGTTGTTTTAATGGGCTACGCGAAGGTCTTATCTGTCAGTGAACACTAAGCATTTCTCTCTTCCTTAAGCACTAAGGAAAAAACATGAATACAACAAATGACAACTTAGTCAACCCCACCACCTTGCAAGACATTGAAGGTGATTTTCCCAACTGCACTGCTGTGGAAGTCGCTCTGAAGACTTTGTACCTCCCCATTATGCATCATCTTCCTGGTGGGCTTCCCAGGAAACATCATTGCAATTTGTGTTTACAGCTTCAAGATGAGGCCTTGGAAGAGCAGCACCATCATCATGCTGAACCTGGTGCTCACAGACCTGCTCTACCTCACCAGTCTTCCCTTCCTGATACACTACTACGCCAGCGGGGAGCACTGGATCTTTGGCGAATTCGTGTGCAAGTTCATCCACTTTGGCTTTCACTTCAACGTGTACAGCAGCATCCTCTTCCTCACCTGCTTCAGCACCTTCCGCTATGTGGTGATTATCCACCCTGTGAAGTTCTTCTACATCCAGAGGAAGCGGTGGACAGCGGTGGCTTGCGCAGCCGTTTGGGTGATCTCACTGGCAGCTGTCAGCCCTGTCAACTTCTTGATCTCCTCAAAAGAAGCACAAAACAGATCCTTATGCCTCGCCCTTACCAGCTCTGGAAACCTGGGCACAATCAGGTGGTATAAGTGGCCGCTGACTGGCCTGGCCTTCTTCTTGCCCTTGCTGACTCTATGCTACACGCTCATTATTTACACCTTGGCTACCAGGCCCCACACCCGGGCTTGCTACAAACAAAAGGCTCACAGACTCACTGTCATCCTCTTGGTGGTCTTCTATGTGTTCTTCCTCCCCTTCCATGTCTTTCGGGCTGCTCGGGTTGAACTACAGTTGTGTCCAGTCAGCTGTCAGCTGTCATGCGGAGAAGCAAATCCATTCCGCCTATATCATCTCTCGGCCACTGGTTGCACTCAACACATGTGGCAACCTACTACTTTATGTCGTGATCGGCGGTAACTTCCAACAGGCCATCCTCTCTCTTTCAAGGTGTAAGTGGAGCAAATACGTCCAGCAGCCCGGAAGCAACAATTATGTGACCAAGTCAGAAATTGCATTAAAGTTATGGAGGAATCCCAGCAAACCTGGGACGGCTTTGGTGCTGTAAACTCCTGCAAAGGCAGGTGTGTTAATACGGTAGCAAGAATTGCAGCTGGCTTCTCCCTCTCCCTGCAGTAGACCACTTGTCAAAAAGCTGTCCTGGAAGCAGGTTTATATATATTCCTCTCTTAGCAACCAAAGAACAGGCAGTGAAAAGAAAAGATTGTAAACCACCTCAAAGGTGGAATTTAAAACCACCCGACCGGACTGTTTCCAAAGACATTTGGGAAGTGCAGGGTTCTCTCGGTCCGGGCTTTGCGGTTGATTACAGAAACACAGAGAGCTTAGTTTGGACGTGAGAACAACTTCCATTGATTTCAGTGTTGTCACTGATGTAGCGCTTAGTTTATTACAGCCTGAGTGAAATGCAGCAGATATAGTCACGGTTGCTGAAACCGCTGAATTACATACTTAGAAAGCACCTCGATAAATCTGATGTTTTCAAATGAGATGGACCTGATAAACTTCAGCATAGGGCAGTGAGGGACTGAATGGTGAAATCTCAGAGCTGGCCTAGAGAAGGATGAGAGGAGTACCAGGGGAGGACATATATGGTGAATGCAAGGAGATAGATAGATAGATAAGTAGGTAGGTAGGTAGGTAGGTAGGTAGGTAGGTAGGTAGGTAGGTAGATAGATAGATAGATAGATAGATATGTACACAAGGAGATAGAGAGAGAGATATATAAGGATATCTATATATATGGAAAAAATGGAGGAACAAGGAATTAACAGTCACATTAATGTCCATCTCAGAAAAATACTGAAACAAACGATCAGATGATAAGCCTACAGAGGGTGGAAGCAAGGACAGGTAGCCTGGGAGGAATACAGAGAAATTCTCCGAGCAGCCAGGGATCAGGTTAGGAAAGCTAAAGCCCTGATAGAATTAAATCTGGCCAGGGACATCAAGGACAACAAGAAAAGATTCTATAGGTATGTCGGGGATAAAAGGAAGACAAGGGAAAATGTGGGCCCTCTCTGGAATGAAATGGGAGACCTGGTTACCCGGGACACAGAGAAGGCGGAGGTACTCAATGACTTTTTTGCCTCGGTCTTCACTGGCAAGTGCTC